GCAGGAATGTGCAGAGATGAAAAGGAGCAGCTGCTGAGACAGCAGGCACGGAGGGGGCCCCCGAGGGGGGGGATCCTGGGGACAACTGGAGCCTGAATGGGTGAGGCAGGAGAGGGCCCCTGAGAAACTGGAGATCTTGGAGATGAGGAAGGGACAGAGGGGTCCACGAGACCGTGGAGATGGCACGGTGAGCCAGGACAGGTGGGAGCAGGAGGACGTGGGTGGTGATGGCACAGAGGGTGCAGGGAGCCGTGTGGGAAGACAGAGTGGGGAGTGGGGCTGATGAAGTGCACAGAGATGGATGGGTGGAGGCTGACGGAGCGGTGAGGGGCAGCGCAGGACAGCACGGTGAGATGGGGGCAGTGCAGGCCTGGGTGAGGCCGTTACTTACACGTGGATCGAGAGCGCCCGTCCTCTGTACAGGCTGAACGCGCTGCCGTACAGGTCACTGGCCACCGAAAGGCTATCCTCTGACCCCCAGCTTGCGCCCACCAGATTAGCTCGAGATGCCCGCACCAGCGGCTCCACCCCCAGGTGCCGTGGCCCGGCCCCGGTTGCCTGTGCTTGCCTTGGGCTGCCCGGGAGGCGGCGGGTGCCACCCCCACTGCCCGCTTCCTGCTCCAGGACCGTCTGCCCGCTGCCCCACCAGCTCACTTGCTCCTCCGAGGTGCCTGTCACGGAGGTTGGGGGTGTGTCCAGCGAGGTGCCCACGAGGGTGTCAGAGCCCCCTAGGGAAAGGAGTGCTGTGAGACTGAGGCCACCGGGGTAGGAAGCCTGCCTGCCTGCTCTCAGGCACCCCAGAGCGCTTACCCGTGGGGGTGCTGAAGGCCCCGTCATCCCGAAGCTCCAGGCGCTGGGTCCCCTGCACATCGCTGATGTCATCCTCAGCAGTCTCCGAGTCTGGAGAAGAAGGGGTCTGTGTGGGCAGGGCCCTCCTCCTTCTGCCTCCAACTTCCCTGCGTCGCCTCCTACCTCCCCCAGGCAGGCCTATCTCACCATGGTGCAGGGCTTCCAGCAGCCTGTCTCCTCTCCTATGTTCCCCACATCCCCTGCCCTGCCTGGGGTATTCAGTGTAACCCCTCCCATGTCAATGCCCTGGCTGCTTTTCTGAGCCTCTGGCTATTCACCATCACCTAGTGGGACCCTCAAAAATGCCCCCCCTCCCGGTGTCAGTGATACTCAAGGTCCTGTGCATCCACCAAAATAACGAGGTCCCAGGTTTCCAGGCCCTAACATCTGGGTTCTAGTACCCCAGGAACAAAGGGGAGTCACCTCAGAGTCGTAATGTCAGGGCACTCGACCAACCGCAGGGCCAGCCTGTCCTCCACCCCAAACCAGCCAGCAGGCATCAGAGTGCAGCTGAGGCAGGGTGAGGAGAGGCCAGGGCTAGGCTGGGAAAAGGGGGAGTGGGGGACTAGGGCAGGAGCCAGTTTCCTACCGTAACTTTGCTTTCTGCAGGAGCGGAAAACTTCGCTTCCATAGGAGCAGCAGGAGAGAGACATGGACAGACTGTTATCAGAGCGTTTGTGGGGTAGGGCGTGGAGGGTAGGCGGGATAGAGGGGTGTGAGGGTACCCAGCGACCAGAAATGCCCTGCAGGGTTGGGTGAGGAGGGGGAGACACCTGGGATGTGCCCAGTGCAGGGAACCCACATTTTTAGGCTAGTGATTTCAATTGCCCCAGTGACTCTGGTACCCTTGGCACTTGCTGGTCCCCCACTGGCCACATATATACATACATACACACACACACACACACACACACACACACACACACACCTGCTTGTGTCCAGCCCCGCCACAGACGAAGGCCTCCCAGTAGGGGTCAGGCCACCCTCTGTTACAAAACTTGCATTGTGCTTTGACCCATTCTTGCAAACCAGCCCCCCACCTGATGTGACAAGCACCTGCCTCCAGATTTCTTTCTTTGCTTGACTAGTCTTCAAAAATGCCCAGCAGTTAGGTTAGGAGCAAAGTGTCCTGGGCATATTTTCAACTTTCCCAGAAGCTAGCAGGTCTGTGCCTCAGTTTCCCTCAGGGTGCCATGACAAGGAGGAGCCATGTACTGGCTGCCAGAGCAAACCATGACAATGATCTCCTCGGTTGGCCCCACAGATGGAAAACAGGGAGCCCAGACCCTTGGTGGGGTGTGCTAATGCGCCTTCTTCCCCAATGCTAGAACCCCCTCAGCTGCAGGACACAGGGGCCTTTTCGGGTGGGTGGGAAGATGAGTGAGGGTGTGTGTTTGTAGGGGGGGGGTCCCACATCTCATGGGCTGTCTTCAGAGCCCGAAAGCTCATGAAGGGACATGCCCCAAGAGGAGGAGTGGGCACAATTAGAGCAGGGACGCCCACTGTCCACGCACCATGGGTGAGTCGGCCAAAGGCCCGGCGGGAATGGCCGGTTTTCTGAAAGAGAAAAAAGCCAGAATGAGTTGGTGAGGGGGAGGCTTGTTCTTAAGATCTCTATGCCTCCCATTGAAACTCCATGGGCTGGGGTGTGTGTGTGTGTGTGTGTGTATGTGTGAGAGAGAGAGAGAGAAGGGGGAGGTGGACAGGGACCCAGAGTGCCCAACTTCCTCTGTAGGGAATGTCTCCAATGTCTCCACTCTGCCTCCCTCCAAGCTACCCAGCCTAGCTCTGGGAGGAGCAGGGGAGGAAAGAGAGAGAACAACAAGGCTGCGGGTCAAATGCAGGGACTGCCTGCAGGACAGACGCTCCGACCTGGGGCTTGAGCAGCAGCCCCAGAGACAGAGGACAGGAAACGAGGAAGTCAGCAGCACTGCCCAGGAGATGGGGGGGGGGGGGGGGGGGGGGGGACTGGTGCGTGAATGACCGGAGATGGAGGGATGAGGACATACATCCCTGCCGGAGGGCAGACACCTTGCATAGATGTCAAGGTGTCAGAGGAGGGACGAGGGGCAGAAGGCAAGGCCCCCAAAGGGATCAGGCCGCAAGAAAGAGGCCCAGGTACGGAAGACGGGACAGGGCTTGGGGAATTTACTGAGCTCAGCGCGGTTCCTGGTGCGTTGATTTCAGGAGCTCCGGAAGATGGAAGGCTCCAGATTGGGGTGCTGGGGCAAGCCGGGCGGGGGGCTGGGGCCGGGGTTGGTCAGAGGCAAGAGAGATGAGGTGGCAAAGAAGCAAGTGGGCGCTCCACGCCGAAGGTTGCGGCGGGGGCGTCCCCCGGTGGTCGAGGGGGTCGGGAAAGAGGGTGTCTGCCCTTCAGCGCCGGGAGGGGCCTGCGCACTCAGGACGCAGGCCCAGGAGACCCCCCGGAATGCACCCGGCCCGCCGCCCTCGGCCGGGCGGGATGGGGCAGGG